AGATTTTATGAAAAAAAATGGCCACAAAACTCCCAAGATTTGTCCGATTCCGACGAAATTTGGAATACCGCATCAAATAGTGTTTATAATGATGTGTGCTAAGTTTCGTAGAAATCGGTTCAGACTTAGATATAGCTCCCATATATATTTTTGTCCGATTCGATGTAAATATATTCACCAAACTACTAATTTTTTATCCGATTCAGATCAAATTTGGCGTAGCGTACTAAATTGAGTATAGAATGGCATGTGCTAAGTTTCGTTGAAATCGGTTCAGATTGAGATATAGCTGTCATATATTATTTCGTCCGATTTTATGTAATTGGTGCACGAAAGCCGCTATATTTCTTTCGATTCACATGAAATTGAGAATAGCGTATTAAGTTCAGACTAGAATGTTGTGTGCTAAATTTCGTTGAAATCGATTCGGATTTTGATAGCGGTCTCAGATATATATTTTTGTCCGATTTTCTGCAAATGGTCAACTAAACTCCCAATGTTTGTCCGATTCAGATGAAATTTGAAATACCGTACAATAAATTCAAATTAAGTGGAATTTCTAGAAATTATATATATATATATATATGAAATATTAGATTCGGAATATTTTTCGGGACTGGATAATTTCTAAGAACTATGCATTTATCTCATTCATTATAATAATAAATGGTTTGGATTTGTTTTATTATATATTAATTTGTGGTTTAATTCCACGAAAAATATTGAAAAAAATAAAAAATAGATAAATTGCTATATTATTAGATATTGTTGTTGTGTATATCCGCCTGGGAGAGAGTGGTTTTTTATTAATATTTTTTTTATTAAATATCAGTTTGTTTAAATTAATTATTAACGTAGATATACACCCAATTATGGATGCTTGGATTATTTTGAATGACAGGTCTGTGTGGACTTTGTTTTTTTTTCTGATTTATTGACAAATTCCCAAAAAAAAAAAACAAATGATTCATGGGGTCGCTTCTTTATTTCTCCCTTTCTCTCATTCTATCTCTCTCTCTCCCTCTATACTCCCCCATTGACAGGTAACTTAATTTTCTGATCAGACTCTAATCATATGATTTAACAAATGATAATATTGTAAATATATAATTTTTTATTTGTTGTTGTTGTTTTTTTTTAGATTTTTGGAATCTTCTTCACAATGACAAATGTGTAAATTAAATAAAAATAATATGGGGAAGGGAACAATTAATTATTTGTTATAACAATTTGAAAATATATCTAAAGAGAGAGAGGGATTTTGGAGATTTTCTGCGTAGTAAATAATAAACGGAAAGAAGGAAATTTCAAAGACGGATCAAATCGGCCAAATATATATATATATGGGATCTATATCTAAATCTTAATCGATTTCAACGAAACTTAGCACACATTATTATCATCTCAAATTAGTAGGCTATGCTCAATTTCGTGTAAATTGAACGAAATTTAGAGGCTTAAAATATTCTTTAATAAATCCACGCCTTCAGTTGGTCCTGAAACATACATATGAGAGCTATATCTAAATCTGAAACGATTTCAACAAAACTTAGCACACATCATTCTAGACTCAATATAATACCCTATGTACAATTTCGTGTAAATCGAAAGAAATTTAGGGGCTTTGATCCACCATTTACATAAAATCGGATAAAAATATCTATGAGAACTTTATCTAAATCTGAATCGATTTCAGCGAAACTTAATACATGCCATTCTGGACTTAATTTAGTACGCTATGCAAAATTTCGTCTCAATCGAACATATATTGGGAGTTTGGTGCACCATTTACCTAAAATCGGATGAAAATATATATAGGGGCTATATCTAAATCTGAATCGATTTTAACGAAACTTGGCACACATCATTCTACACTGAATTTAAGACCCTATGCAAAATTTTGTGGAAATCGAGAGAAATTTAGGGGCTTTGGTGCACCATTTACATAAAATCGAATAAAAATATCTATGAGAACTTTATCTAAATCTGAATCGATTTCAACGAAACTTGGCGCACATCATTCTAGTCTCAAATAAGTACGCTATGTTCAATTTCGTGTAAATCGAGAGAAATGTTAGAGGCGGATAAAAATATCTATGAGAACTTTATTTAAATCTGAATCGATTTCAACGAAACTTAGCACACATCATTCTAGTCTCAAAATAGTACGTTATGTTCAATTTTGTGTAAATCGAGAGAAATTTAGGGGCATTGGTGCACCATTTACAGAAAATCGGACGAACATATCTATGGGAGTTATTTCTAATCCTGAATCGATTTCAACGAAACTTGGCACACATCATTCTAGACTGAATTTAATACCCTATGCAAAATTTCGTGTAAATCGGCAGAAATGTCGGGGATTTGGTGCACCATTTACAGAAAATCGCATGAAAATATATATGGGGGCTATATCTAAATCTGAATAGATTTCAGCGAAACTTAATACATGCCATTCGGGACTTAATTTAGTACGCTATACAAAATTTCGTGTAAATCGAGAGAAATATAGAGGCTTTGGTGCACCATTTACAGAAAATCGGATTAAAATATCTATGGCAGCTATATCTAAATCTGAATCGATTTCAACAAAACTTAGCACACATCATTCTAGTCTCAAATAAGTACGCTATGTTCAATTTCGTCTAAATCGAGAGAAATTTAGGGGCTTTGATGCACCATTTACATAAAATCCGATGAGCATATCTATGGGAGCTATATCTAAATCGATTTCAACAAAACTTAGCACACATTATTCTAGACTCAATTTAATGACCTATGCACAATTTCGTGAAAATCGAGAGACATTTAGGGGCTTTGTTACACCATTTACAGAAAATCGCATGAAAATATATATGGGGGGTGTATCTAAATCTGAATAGATTTCAGCGAAACTTAATACATCCATTCTGGACTTAATTCAGTAGGCTATGCACAATTTCGTGTAAATCGAGAGAAATATAGAGGCTTTGGTGCACCATTTACATAAAATCGGATAAAAATATCTATGAGAACTTTATCTAAATCTGAATCGATTTCAACGAAACTTGGCACACATCATTCTAGTCTTAAATTAGTGCGCTATGTTCAATTTCGTGTAAATCGAGAGAAATTTAGGTGCTTTGATGCACCATTTACATAAAATCGGATAAACATATCTATGGGAGCTCTATCTAAATCTAAATCAGGAGAATTTTTCTCTCAAACACCCCAAGATCTGCCTCATCTGCTTGCGCAAGTACCCATGCTTCTGATCCATGTAATAGCACGGGTAGTATCAGCGTCTTGTAAAGTGTTAGTTTGGTCTAGCGGGAGGTGGCCTTGTTTCTAAACTGCTTACTTAGACCATAGTAGCATCTGTTGGCCATCACAATCCTTCTCCGAATTTCAAAACTGATGTCATTTGTTTTATTTATGGCGGTACCAAGGTATATAAAGTCTTTAACTAGCTCGAAGCTGTAGTTCTCAAGTTCCACAGTTGGTCCGAGTCTACTGGACGTCTTTCGCGTTGATACCATCAGCTTGGTCTTCTCGCCTTTTACTGCCTGACCCACTTTGGCAGACTCCTTTTCAATATGTTCAAAGGTGGCTGTTACCGCTCGCAATGTTCGACCCATCGGCGTAGGCGAGTAACATGTGTTGTTTGGTGTACAGAGTGCTATTTCTGTTCACCTTTGCGTCTCGTATGACCTTTTCCAGTAGGATGTTAAAAAGATCACACGACAAACTGTCACCTTGTCTGAATCCTCGATCGGTATTGAAGGGCTCCGATAGGTCCTTTCCTACTTTAACTGCTGACCTTGTGCCACTTAAAGTTTGGTGCACCATTTACATAAAATCGGATGAAAATATATATGGGAGCTATACGTAAATTTCAACCGATTTCCACGAAACTTAACACATATCATTCTAGACTCATTTTAATAGAACACAAATCGAAAATTATTAAGTAATGATTTTTATTATAGAAAAAAAAAAAATCAAAATTTTTTTAGGAACAAAATTCTTAAAATACTTGGAACAGATTTTTTCTGTAAAGGAAAGTTTAATTTCAATTAAAGAAAACAATTGATAATCTACTATAGACTTATTTTTCCATTTAGAAAAAAACTGGTCCTCACTTAAAACATTCCTAAAACACTGGGAACTGATATTCACTTTAGGAAAACAATTCCTAAATTATGAAGGATTGAACAAAAAAGCCTTATACAGACATTCATCAAAGGAAAATATTTCTAAGTTATTGAACTGATTCTTTATTTAATAAAACCAATTCTCGAAAATAGAATTATTTTTTTTCTAATATATTTTTCTTTAAGGAAACAATTTCGTAATTACTGAATAGACAGAATTTTACAATTAATTAAAATATAAACAGCTGCTCATAAATCGATATTAGTACAAATGCATCCTTCCTTATGCACTTGCACTTATTCCTTATTTAAAAAAACAAATTTTAGAACCTAGGTTTTGACTTGTTTCCTAATATTTTTTTTGTCTTTTAGGAAATAATTTCTTAATTACTAAATAGACAGAAAATACTATTTAGAACGAATTAAAATACAAACAGATGAACATAAATCGATATTCGTACAAATGCATCCTAAAGGTTTTTTTTAAGTAATTCTAAATAGTATTTTCTGTCTTCTCAGAAATTAAGAAATTATTTCCTAAAAGTTAAACTTATTCCTTATTTAATAAAACAAATTCTAGAATTTAGATTTTCCTAATATATTTAGTTTTTCCTAATATATATTCCTTTTAGGAAACAATTTCGTAATTACGGAATAGATAGAAAATACTGTTTAAAATTAATTAAAATACAAACAGCTGATCATAAATCGATATTCTCACAAATGCATCCTAAAAGTATGCTTTATGCATTGGAATATTGAAATATGAAATGTAATTTTTGTGTATATTAATTTTAAAAATATTTCATTTCCCCTTAAATTCAAAATTATTGATTTTTAGTTTTTTGCTTTGTCATACATACTTACCGATTTGTATTATTTCCGGCCAATGGCTGTTCAGCATCACTTTTGGTCACCACACTAATGGAGCGTGTCATACGTCTCGGTTTGGCTGAACCCTCTTTGTAACCAAGATTCTCCATGGCTAATTGCACTTGGCATACAGCGACGACGACAACAACAATCCAAATCCAAAAACCACTACTGTTTCCTTATTTGGTGGCTTCTCTATGGCCCAGTTATAATATTTCTTGATGTTGTTGCTGTTGTTGTTAGAATTGGCAATATTTGCAATGAACGACCGACCTTCTCTCAACGTAACTCGAATTCTTTTGATGCATTCAAAATCAATTGAAATTTAAGTCGAGGTGTCTGTAATAAGTAAGAAAGAGAGAAAATGTGAGTAACATAAATCTGCAGTTGAAAAAATAATTCCAATCTATTTTTTTTTGATGTTCGATCTGTAATTGAGACGAGACACTTCTAGATTTGCAATAAATTTATCAAAAAATAAATATTTGTGTTGATTTGATTTGTTTAGATTCGAGAGATCATATTTCAACAATGTTTGTTGCTCTGCTTCTTTGTAAATTGAGTTGTAATAGGGATGTAAGAGAGGGAGAGAGAGAGAGTGAGAGAAAAAACAATGATACAAATGAAAGCAGAGCTTTGGGGTTTGCTATGAGAAAAATATTATATATTCAGAAAAGGTGTGGACGGATTTTTCCACTTTGGAATATATATGGGAAAGTGTATCTAATCCAGTAGCATCCATGCCCTTTTTGAAACTTGTTTAATGAAATTCATAGCATACTTTTAGGCGTCTATTGCTTAATTGATTCATCAGCTGATTGGTTCCCAGGATAAACTTAAAGCTATACTGTGTATCATTTTTTCATTGATTTTTATTGTAGATTGAAATTAGTGTAGTGTAGTCTTTGTTAAAATTTGACATAACCCTTTGATAATTAGGAAAAAAATTGGCTTTAGGAAAAATGTTTTTTTATTTAGGTACAAAATTCTTAAATTACTGGAAATCGATTTTTCTGTAAAGACAACTTAAATTTGAATTAAAGAAAACAAACTGTAAAATGGTTTTTAGGATTTTTTTTTTAATTTAGGAACGAAATTCTTAAAATACTAGAATTTCTGTCTTATGCTTTTTTATTTAATTTAAGAATAAAATTCTTAAACTTGGAAACCAATTTTTCTATAAAGAACAGTTTAATTATAATTAAAGAAAATAAGCGATAATCTATTGAAGGCTAATTTTTTGCGTTAGGAAAAATTTCCTAATAACTTGAAAGATTCCCAAAAACCAAGAAATAGTTAGGAACAAAGTTCATAAATGAAAAATATATTGAATACTTAAAAACAAGAAAGGATTTAGTATTGTTTTTGCCAAAATTACCAAGGTTTAACTAAAAATTTTAAATATTACTAAAACCTTGGGAACTAATATTTATTTTAGGAAAAAAGTTCTTAAATTGGGAAGGCTTGATTTTTATTTTAAAAAATGATTATTTTCTTCTCCATCTAGGTTTTGAAAATATTCTAAAAAATCTTCGCCTAAACCAGTTAGAAATAGCCTCTGAAAATATTTTTAAAAATATTAATTTAATATAAATTTGAAATTCCGAATAGCCTCTGTAAAAGTAGAAACCAAGCCTAATAGAGCTCAGGATGGCTTCATAAAATATTCTTAAAAACTCATGTACTATTTAGGGTAGCTCCCATATAAAGACACTTTACGAATTTTGGTATTACGAATTGGCTATTGGCTAATTTATTACTTTCTATTCTCTTTGTGTGTAGAAAACGTCTCTGCCAAAAATGAAAAAATATTGATGTACTTTTTAGGGTAGCTCCCATATAACGATACCGTCCGAATTTCGGTATTTTGGGAAATTTGAGCTCGTTTTTCAATCGAATTTGCAGAAAATTAGTATTTTGTATTCTCATGGGCTAAAAAGTCTCCCTACAAAAAATGATAAATATTGGATAGGTTTTTGGGGAACATTCCATACAACGTCACCTTCCGAACTTCGGGATTTTACGTACATTTCTCAAGCAATTTGTCTGTAATTTGGTAGTATGGGTTCTCATTGGATAGAAAATCGTCCTACCAAAAATGAGAAATATTAATGCAATTTTAGGGTAGCTCTCATATAACGGTACCTTTCGAATTTCGATGTTTTGGGGATTTTGGTACATTTTTTAAGCAATTTGGCTGTAATTCGGTATTATGGGTTCTCATTGGATGGAAAATCTTCCTACCAAAAATGAGAAATATTAATGCAATTTTAGGGTAGCTCCCATATAACGGTACCTTCCGAATTTCGATGTTTTGGGGATTTTTGTACATTTTTCAAGCAATTTGGCTGTAATTCGTATGGGTTCTCATTGTGTAGAAAATCTTCCTCCCAAAAATAAGAATTATTGGTTTAATTTTTACGGTAGCCGTCATATAACGATACCTGCCAAATTTCGATGTTTTTTTGGGGTATTGGGTACATTTGTCAATAAATTTGCCTGTAATTCGGTATAATGGAATTTCTTTGGGTAGAAAATCATCCCACCAAAAAATGAGAAATATTGATGCATTTTTTAAGATAGCTCCCATATAACGATACCTTCCGAATTTCGATGTTATGGTGGTTTTGGGTACATTTGTCAACCGAATTGGCTGTGATTTGTTATTATGGGTTTTCATTGTGTAGGAAATCTCCCTATCAAAAATGAGAAATATTGATGCATTCTTTAGGATAGCCACCATATAGCGGCACCTTCCGAATTTCGATACTACATGGATTTTGTGTAAATTTTTCACGAAATGTGGATATAATTCGATAATATGGGTTTTCATTGGGTAGAAAATCTTCCCACCAAAAATAAATATTTTGGGGCATATTTTAGGGTAACTCTCATATAACGGTACCTTCCGAATTTCAATATTTTGGGGATTTTTAGCTCGTTCTTCAACCGATGTGGATGTAATTTATTATTTTGTATTCTCATTGTATCAGAAATCTTCCTGCCAAAAATGAGAAATATTGGTTAACTTTTTAGGATAGCCCCCATATAACGACACCTTCCGATTTTCGATGTTTCGATGGTTTTGGGAACATTTGTCAACAATATTGGCTGAAATTTAGTATTTTGTATTTTCATGGGATTGAAAATCTTCCTAACCAAAAATGAAATATATTGGTGCACTTTTTAGGCACTTTTTAGGGTCCCATGTAATGGCACCTTCCGAATTTCGGTATTGTGGTTAGTGTGAGCTCGTTTTTAACCGAATTGATTGTAATTTTGTATTGTGTCATTGTATCAGAAATCTTCCTACCAAAAATTAGAAATATTGATTGACTTTTTAGGGTAACTCCCATATAACGGCACTTTCCGAATTTCGATATTTTGGGTACATTTTTCAAGCAATTGGACTGTAATTCGGTATAATAGGTTCTCATTGGATAGAAAATCTCCATACAAAAAAAAATTATCAATATTCATGCATTTTTTAGATTAGCTTACATATATCGGCACATTCCGAATTCCGATACTAAGTGGATTTAGGATACATTTTTCAAGAAATTTGGCTTTAATTTGGTATTAGGAGTTCATATTATGTAGGAAATCTTCCTACCAAAAATAAAAAATATTGAATCACTTTACAGGGTAGCTCACATATTACAGCACCTTCCGAATATCGATGTTTTGGGTACATTTGTCAACCGAATTAGCTGTAATTTGTTATTATAGGTTTTCATTGGGTAGGAAATCTTTCTACCAAAAATGAGAAATATTGATGTACTTTTTAGGGCAGCTCCCATATAACGGCACCTTCCGAATTTCGGAATTCTGGGGATTTTGAGCTCGTTTTTGAACCGAATTGCCTGTAACTTGGTATTTTGCATTCTCTTTGTATAGGAAATCTTCCTACCAAATTAGAGATATTGGTTTAATTTTAAGGGTATCTGCTATATAATGGTACAATCCGAATTGGCTGATTTTTCAGTATTTTGCTTACTTTATGTTCTGCCCGACCACATTTACTTCTTGTTTCCTTATTTAAAAAAAAAAATTGAATTTTTCAGAATTATTTTTCAAAACTATTACTTAGTCATTTTCCATGTCAGACACCTTACAATTTGTTGCCTAATACAACAAACATGACTTAATGGAATTTCTCATGGAAATTCCTTCTCACTCTTGCCCCTCCCCCTTTACGATAATTGGATCTAGTTTGTGTTTATTATTGTTGTTCATACAAAAAAAAAAAGAAGATCAAAACTGATCGCCATAAATTGAATTTTATGCATGATTGGGTTACAACATGATTCTGTTACTTTTTTTCCAATTTTTTTCTCTTGTTGTTGTTGTTGCAGTTTTTAGCATTAACGTAATTGCAAAATTTCTTTGCTATTATTTCACTATTTTTTTTAATTTTAATTGTTGTTGTCTAATTCAATTTTAATTTTTATTTATTTTCTCTATGGGTTTTTGATTTTTCACAAATAATTGTTTGCAGGGTATGGGGTTTTGAAAGTGGACAACAACAAATTCAGCACAAACACTTTAATATTAGCACCTTGATGATTTTCTTTACAAGTTTTTTTTACACGTTTCCGTAAATACGCGAATATTTTTCTCTTGTAGAGAATTCTCGACGAAGGTTTGCGAACTTGCTGCGGCCACCGCTGAATACCAATTAATTTTAGTAATTAATATTTTTATAAGGGCAGATATTTGGAAACCTATTTTGAGTGGCTAATTTTTGGCATTATGATTTTTTGTTTTTATTTTTTTGGAAACAGAATAGCGTCACTTTTAAATATCAGCAGCATGGAGTCTAGAAATGTTTTTTTTTTTTTTTCTTTTGCAAATTTTTTTGTCATTCGTTATCTTAGCTGGTATTTGATTTGATTTTGATGTTCTTATCTTTTGAAACAAACAAAAAAAATTATCAACCGCATTATCCAGCATCCCCAATCACTTCTCATCATCATCATCATTATCTCTCTGGCCATGCCAGCGTCGTCTTCATATCGGCGTTATCTTAAATTTTGATAAAAACGTAACTGCAGATGCTTTAGTTACTTAAAATAAAATAAAAAATATATATACTCTCTACATCACTAGCTTACAA